TTCATCACAGCTACATAACTCTGCTGTTTTCGGTGAGGGCAGTTACAGACAAATATAAAACCAGATGAATATAGCTATGTCCCAATACAACTTTATCTGTGGACCCTGAAACTTGAATTTCATATCATTTTCATGCAACGTTATTCTTCCTTTAGTTTTTTCCAACTATTTAAAAATGCAAAAATTGGTCATAACTGTGGATTATACAAAACTAGGCATCAGGCCAGATTTGGCCCATGGGCTACAGTAAGGCCATTCCTGGTCTAGCCCAGTAGTGCTTCTTCAAGGGCCAGGGAGCGTTCACTCAATCAGGGTCCAAAGGAAAACTCCCTAAAGATGGTTCTGTTTATAAAGTTTTCCCACAGAATGTAGTTAAAAATTTATGGATCAACAGTATGTCCATGATTTTCTAATACACATCTGAAAGTTTGTCCCACTTTATTAGATGGTCCATTGAAAACCATTTTAAGGTTTTACAGTGACTTTTTTACTTTTCATCAAGAAAAAGTATGTATAAAATAACATATAGGGCTTATAAGATAAAACCCGAATGAAAGAAGTATGAGTTATGTTCCTGGTTTGGGGCATTCAGTTCTTTGACTAGATAAGTAACTTGACTGTTTTATATCTCATTTTCTGTGTCTGGAAAGTCAGAATTGGTGGGTCTTGTTACTAAAGAGTTATATTAAATATTAAAGGAGATGAAGGGGAAAAATATGCCTGTATCTTCCGGAGTAGCCACGTGTTCAGAAAGAAAAAAAAAAAAAAGTATGTTCTTTTATATGTTATAACATACAGCAGAAAGGATGAATATTTCTGAACAAGAATGGAAATCTAGTGAGTGAGTGATTTTTTTTTTGAACATTTTGGGGTAGAAGAAAATCTAAACCCAAGGGTGAGATCATGCAAACTATAGCAGAAAATACACAGATGAAAAATCTCCTGGTTTTCCTATGTGCCTACTATTACCAGGAGTGGTTTGGTTTAGGGGTCTGTAAAAATGTTTTCTTCCTTTAAATAAAATGCTCTGAGCCAAGACATCATCAGTTCCAGGCTCAGTGCCTTCCAGCTGAAAGTGTGAATGTTCAGCAAGAGGGTATTTTTGAAAGGAGACTGAAAATCTGCTGTGCCAGATACCTGAACCGATGTTAGGGTATTCAGTGGAAAATTTCATTTCCACATTATAAATAACTGTAGGATATTTTAAGGGATCCAAGACCAGGAACTTCCAAGAGCTGCTTATATTAGTTCAACTGAAATGTAAAATGAAGGGAAGATGCCCAAGGAAGGCCATAAAAGCTAAATCACCGGACGTGATTAATTAAAATAAAGAATTCAACATTGATTAAATCGCCCTTAAAATCCCCAGTCAAGGCACCCAACCACTGAGGCCTGCATATTTCACTAGCCTCTGAGGAAAACAAAGACAGGACAGAACAGAGATGGAGAAAGAAAGGAAAATTCCCCAACAGGATTACTTAAATTCAAAAATGCCCTAGAATTTCTTCTTTGAAAAAGCCCATCTGGTCGCCTATATTTGAAATATTGACTTAGCGTCTTCAAATTTTCTGGGAGTTCCCTGTTTGGTGGACTTCCTGGGAGGAGGAGGACAGCCCCAGAGAAGACAGCATATCACCTGCTACGGTCACAGAACCCTTGTCTCCATTTGAACACAGAAAAGATCCCGTTTCTATAACTTTTCCCCTCCTTTGTAGCCCCTACACGTTTAAAACCCAAACAAGAAACAAGTGAGAGATCTTTGCTAGACAGTGGTACAACATACTCCAAATAAAACGGCCCCGCGAAAAGGCAACCAAACCAAACCAAACCAAACCAAAATAAAGCAAGCAAGCCTGGTTGTGTGTGTGTGTGTCCCCGAGTGCCAGCATGTGGCTGTGCGAGAGCGTGTATCCGAGTGTATCTGAGTGGGTGTGTAAGGTAGGAGAGTAATGAATGCAGTGTGGTCTCTCTCTCTCTCTTTTTTGGAGGGCTTACGGCCGCTTGCGGCTGGGGAAGACTCGACCCTGTGCGCGCAGGCTGCGAGCCGGTGCCCGGGGTTAGAGCTCTCCCCTGTGACCGAAAAGATAATTAAAAATCGTACGCGCAGGAGATAGCTCAGTTCCTCGTTGCGCAGCCAGATCGTTGCGATAGTGGGCTCCCTCACAACCTCTGGGCGCCGGGGTCCGGAGGCCAGTAGGTCGGGGGCGAGGAGCAGGCTGGGGAGGGGGTTTCATCGCGGATGAGGCTGAATGGGGCACCCAGGGTGGCAAGCTGCCGTGGGGAGGTCGGGGAGGCGGGAAGGGCGCGGCGAGGAGGCGCGCGTCTGTGGGGGGATTTTGGGGAAAGGCGGGAACGTGGAAAGAAAACTGGGAAAGGGTAAGACGCACGAGGGAGACGGTGAGGAGAAGGTGAAAACGAAGCCCCAGAGAAGAAGGACAGAGCAAGGTCCCCCGTGCCCGTCGTGACCCCCACGAGGGCGCACGCTTAAGCACCTTGGCCCCTCACGTCCGCCCCAGCAGTTGGAGGCCCCTCTGCCGCCCGTGCCTCTCTTTAAGAGGCAATCCTCGTGTCGTCACAGTCACATTACTACAGCCCTCCACGTTCACCGTGCACTGGAAATGGGCTCCAGAGTCCGTAACTGGCACCGGGTCCCCTCTTCCGCGCTCCCAAGCCCTCGAAGCCCTTCCAGACCCCTTCAAAGGCGCAGACCCGGTGCGCCTACTCAGCGAGTGGAAACAAGGCTTTAAAAACCCACAGGGAGGGTCGTGGCAGGTCGCTACCAGGGTGACAGAGGCATTTGCGCTGAGTGAGCAGTAAAAACGCCAATTAATGGGCACGTGAATTGCTTTAAATAAGATGGGGGCGGGGGAATGAGTGATGACTCAACTATCTTTATTCCTTAATACTCCGAGGGCGAAGCGTTATAATTTTTTCATTTATTTTATAAAATCACTTACTATGGTGTCAGCTACCCTATTACGAATCTTTGAAGCTTTGGCAAGTCTGTTTTTGCAAACACGTTTTCAAGCTTTGAGAGGTTTAAGGGAGTTTAACGGTAAGCAAGGAACGTAGCAGTACACAACAAGGAGGGAAAGGGCCCTGTGTCCCCTTTTTGGGGGTGCAAAGCCTCAAGCGGATTTCCCGGCTTCTGCGGGCGCCGCACATTGTTTTATTTGTTTTGAAGGTTCCGAGTTTGAGGCTGGTCGGAGACACCCACGTGCTTCTTCTGACTCTCATCAGCGTAATGATCGCCTTAGCCAGAGTCGTGTCTATATAAACCACAAAAACCTAATCATTAGAAATCCCAGCCTCCAAAAACCACATTTTAGGTAAAACTGCCGCTTTTTTCCCGCGCTCCTTCATCCTCTCGACCACAACATTTTGGGGGATCCAAAGTTGCTTTCTTAACCCACATTGGGAAATAAATACATAAATAAATAGCCAATGAGGCATTTTGGATATTTTATTTTGTATTTTTATTTTTTCCCCTGGGAGTGGTGGGGAAGAAAGTTAAGATATTAGACTTAATTTTAGATGCAGAATACACTTAATAAAAGATTTAAAGTCATGGAAAACTGCTGGGGTTTTTCCTCAACAAGGTTTTTGCAACTTATTTTAATCATCCAACTGACAGTTTATCAGTCCTTAAAAAAACAAAAAACAAAAAACAAAAAACAAAAAAAACACCAGCAGCTCATCCTTGTTCTCTAGGAACTAAGTTTGAGTATAGAAAAAGTGTCCAGCCACCCACTTGAGGTTCTAAAAACTATTTAGCAAGTGTCCCCTTCACCCCATTTTTTTTGTGTTACTTAAGACAAAAAAGCATCCAAACCCTGCAAAATCATTTTTTCCCTGGGAGCCGCTCCGGCAGAGGTGGGGGGTGGGGTGGGGGAAGGGGGAAGAGTGCCGAGAAGTCAGCACAGACGCTCAAGAATTTTCCTTCCTCCTCTCCTGAAGTTACAACGAAAAATAACGACAGTCAGTTCAGCCCGCGGCTCTCTGGCGTCTCAGCTTCAACCTCGTGCGACCAAGAGGGGGTTCCTTGTCCTGGGTCGGGGGAGAAGCGAGAGGACGCGATCAGGCGAGATTCCCCTCGACCCGGGCCGCCTCTCCGGCTTCGGAAGCTGCGCGCTGCGTCCGGGGGCTCCTGCTCTTGGCCGGCGGGCGGCGGCAGCGGCTGCGGTTCGCAGGCTCGAGAGCTTTTGCCCCGAGATCCGCTGCCCGCGACTTACCTCCTGGCACCTCGACGCGCGAGGGTCAGGGTAGCTTTGCAAAAAGCAGGAGGGACTGGATGCAAGGAGGTGGCCGTGAGAAGGCCAGAAGAGGAGAAAGGAAAGGAAGGAGCGGAGCCGGGGAGCCGGGCTGGCAGCCGCCGCGGGAGGAATCTGAGCGTGCGGCCGGCGCGGGGGGAGCGGAGGCCGCCGCGGACGAGGCGGCGGCGGCGGCGGCAGCAGCGCGGGAGGGCGGGCGGCGGCGCGGACGCCTGCAGCTGGGTAGCTAGCTGCGCGCGCGGCGCGGCGGTGGCGGGCAGCGCGCCGCTATGCTGGCCGCGGGGCTGGACTTCTGAACCCACTCGGAGCCATCGCGGGACTCGACTTGGGAGGGGGCGCCAGCGCACCCAGTACGCAGTGCCCCAAGGGACCCCACTCCAAGCTGCGAACTGAAGCCCCCTGCCACTCCAGGACACACACATCCCCGCGCCGGTTCTCCGCTGCCACCGCCAGCGTTCCAAAGGCTCCGGCAAGATCTGTGCCTCTCGGGTCCAACCCGCCAACCCGACTGCTCCGCATCGTCACCGCCGGCCCCCGTCAGACTCCTCCCGGCAGTCGGCTTCACCGAACTTGATTTCTCACCTCCTCGGCCCCATCACCTCCATCCCCTTTCCCCCCGTCTCGCCTCCACCCCCCCAATTTCCTCCTCCTCGCCCCTCATTTCCACCCTCCTCCCCCTCCCCCGGCCACTTCGCTAACTTGTGGCTGTTGTGATGCGTATTCCCGTAGATCCGAGCACCAGCCGGCGCTTCAGCCCTCCCTCCAGCAGCCTGCAGCCCGGCAAGATGAGCGACGTGAGCCCGGTGGTGGCTGCGCAACAGCAGCAGCAGCAGCAACAGCAACAGCAGCAGCAGCAGCAACAGCAGCAGGAAGCGGCGGCGGCGGCAGCTGCGGCGGCGGCAGCAGCGGCGGCCGCGGTGCCCCGGTTGCGGCCGCCCCACGACAACCGCACCATGGTGGAGATCATCGCTGACCACCCGGCCGAGCTGGTCCGCACCGACAGCCCCAACTTCCTGTGCTCTGTGCTGCCCTCGCACTGGCGCTGCAACAAGACCCTGCCCGTGGCCTTCAAGGTAAGAAGCTGCGGCCGCCCCCCGCCCCCGGCCGGGCGCCGCGGGATCTGCCCGCCGGCGTCTCCATGCCCGCGGGGGCCGGGGCCCCGACGGCCTCTGGGGCCTCCTACCTTGGTGGCTCTAACCTGAGCCCCCCCCCTCCCCGAGTGACCCTCTTCCTCCGGATCCCTCGGCGGTCTCGGGACGCGGTGACCCCGCGAAGATCCCCTCTCCCACCTGTGCCTGCAGCCAACCGCCTCAGTCCCTGACCCCTTTATCCTTTCATTACCCCTCAAGCCTCCCGACCAGCGTTCTAACCCACTCCTCTGAGCGGTCTCCCCTCCCCCTAGAAGCCCCTCGGTGCCCACTCTGGGCGCCGCTACCCCGGCTTATTCCACCCCGCCCCCATTCCCCCGGGGTGAGGAGCCCCGGCCTTCTCCCCCAGTACTCCCGCGTTCTTCGGGCTGGGCATACCCACCCGCCCAGCAGCGCGGGCTGCCGGCGCCACCCCTCCCCCGAGTCCCGCGCGCTTCTACTCTCTCCGCTCCAGTCGGACCCCCCTCTGCCCGGCTTGGCACCCCCTTCTCTAACCCGCCTGAACCTTGGCGGCCCCGGCCCCTCCCGGGCTCGGGCTCGGGGGCCAGTGTTCGTGGGGTGCCGGCGCCGGGCGTTAGCGTCCGGGGCGGGGCGCGGGGTGCCGGCTGCGGAGCGTGGGCCGCATGACCCGTGTCCAAGAGGGTCTCGGGCAAACCTAGGGACTCTGGGAGCTAGTGAGGGGGAGACAGCACGAGGGCGTCCGCTTGGCTCGCAGACCTGCGCCTGTTGCCGTTACCGGGAGGAAGGCGGGGCCGCCAGGGTCGCTGCGCGCCCGGAGGCGGGGGAGTCCCGGAGCCCCGGGCGCTGGACCCTCGAGTGCCGGGAGGTGGCTAGTGGAGGGGGCGGGGGCTCGGGCCGCCTCTTGGAGCCGGGACCCAGCTCCCCGCCTCACCCCACCTGGGAGGGATAGGGGAAACCTGTGAAATGCCTTTGGCTCGCCCGCCTTGAAAAAGGAGGTGAAAGTTTGAGGATTTCTCTTATTGGTACTTGTGAAGGACTTGAGTTCCTAAGGGCCCCCCCTTCTGAAAGGTCGTGGGAGGCTCCGGCCGGTGGTCTGGGCGCGGAGGAGCGACCCCCGAAGCCTGAGAGCGCTCCCCGCGCACCGCGGCCTCCTCCGCTCGCCCGCCGGGCCCGTTAGTTGGAGGGCGGGTGTCTGCCGCGGGAGCCGCAGCCGCGGCCCGGCAGGTTGCGGGTGCAGGGTCTGGAGCCTCTCGCAGTAGCCGGATGCGTCTCCACAGCGCGGTCTAGATTTCCCCAGGCGGACCTCGCCAGGGGGAGACGCGGAGCCCCCAGGGCCCGGTAGGCACTGGGCTGATGGGGAAACAGGTTCCCGGGCAGTCCACACTCCCGGGACTAGACTCCAGGGATGGAGGGGGCGGTGAGCCAGACGGGGAGAAGAGCATTCCCGGGAAGACGCTTCCGGCCCTGTCTGGCCTCTGAACTGGTGAAGGTGGGCCTGGGTCCTCGGGGTTCTGGGATCTGTAGAGAGCAGGCTAAGCGAGGCCTGGCGAGGTAGGAGGAGGAGGGAGGACTCCTGCCAGTTCCTCCACTGTGGACCCCGGGGCCAAGCTCCTACAGGCCACTGGCAGTTCCCAGTTGTGGATCACAACCCCCCCCCCACCACCCCACGCACCAATTCAGATTCCGTGTGTGGGTGGGGTGGAAAGAAAGAGGAGTCCAGGTCAATTAGAGCTGGTTATCTAGCTGGGTCTTGTATCAGAACAGAAATCAGAATGAATTGTTCAGGAAAGGGGATGTTGCATTCTGGGGCAGGTTTCATTTTGCAGTTGGTTCAAGAAGTGTGTGTGTGTGTGTGTGTGTGTGTGTGTGTGTGTGTGTGTTTTAACCGTCCCATTTCTCCTTTTATAAACCACCCATTTTGTAGGTTAACGTTTTCCTCCTTGAAATACGAAAAGCTTAGAATGTATGTGAATTCTAGAAATTCGAATTTCCACACAAGAGCTATCTTTTACGACGTTCACCGTCCCTGGGCCCAGAATGTTCTAATTCGCCTTAAGCGAAGAGTGGAAATTTGTACCCCTCCCAACCCTCAAAACACAAACAAACAAACAAAAAGCCTGGATGAAAACAGCAAATACAAATAGGTATTTTGTCTATAAAATGCCATGTCAGGCATTCCAAGTCAGGATATATGAAAAATAAAATGGTAGGTGCCTATGTTTTAAAAGATATCACTTAGATATTTGGTGTTCTACATTCTGTTTACTCTGCTAGACTTGTTTAAGGTATAACTGTCTTGAACTATTCTCATTTATGGTGCTGAATTGATTTGGAGTCTTGGTACTTTGGATAGAAATGAACTTTTTGGTGCAAAGATAGAATGCAGTGTGTTTGAGCTGTTCTCAGATATTTTGGTTATCTTTAGGTTTTCTCATTACCACCCTTTTAAAATTATTTTGAAAATAAATTGTTTTCTTTGCTATTTTCCATCCTTATTATTAATTACGGAGCAGTTTTACTTTTAACCAGTGAACAAAACTATAGATTATACATGGCCATATTAGATTAAGTATTTTAATTCATATTAATTAAAAAAGAAATTGAGTTAATTTAAGACTTGATTCGCTGTGTCCTTCCACTCCCATACCTGTATTTAAGAAAATTCAGACAGATGGTGATAGCTGAGATCCCCTCAGGATTTAAGTTTTGTCTCTGCTGAAAAAGATGTGTAGAGATGTGGAACATCTAGATTTTGACAACATTTTTTATTGTTTTCATCTGAATGTTAGTAAAAACAATCTCTCTTTACCTTTCTTTTGAGATAAAAGCCTGAGATCAGTAGACTTTCTACACCCTTGTAACATAATCAAATACATATGCAGCGGAGAAATAATATGAAGAAGTCTCAGTTTTAGAAGTGGTGACCACAATTTGGCTATCATATTTAGAGCCATGTACAAAGTAAGTTACAGTGTTGTTGGGTAGATAATATGTGGGTAAATATATTTAAAAACACAAACACACAGAACTTAATTGTTGAGAAATCTGGGATTCAAATCAATACAGTATTTATTGAATCCATATTTTATGTCTGTGACCCTAAACTCAGCATTGAAGAGCAACAGAAGTGAGTTTAATATGTAGTGTTTTGATGTGTTAATTTAAAATAATGCTTCACGATGATATTGACAGTGTATAATATTTAAGACATAAGCAATGTATTAGTGTTGTTCATCTGATCTTGTTTTGGGATTATACAAGAATACTTATAATTTGTTTATACTCGGCATGTAAAAACACAAAAACAACTAGTATGTTTTAAAACATGCCAAGTTGTTTATTGGTATTATATTTTTAACAAAGTTCTGCAGGTTTGTAGTGTTCCGTCCTTCCAGGTGTCAAGGAAATGGAAATAAATATTTTTAACATTTCTTTCAGGTGTATCTTACTGAAAGCTTAAAATAGTTAAGGGATACTATTAGAGGATCCCCATGCCCTTTCTGTCTTAGATAATTCTTGTGACAAAGAAAGTAAAAAGCAATTTGCAAATTCATTTCATTAGTTAATGGTCTGGTAGAAATAGGGAGAGCACATGTCAGCCTGGCATCCAGTAGCACCCTTAGAGTCAGGGGTCTGTCAGCCTTTCCACCATGAATCCTTGTTCAGGGCTTATAACTCAGTCGCTTTAAATAGCTTCGAGCTGAGACACTATGCAGAAATTTTAAGTCCAGATGTATATTTTAAAACTAAAAGTGGTGCAAGGCTATTGTGCTGTTTTAAGTTAGAGAACACTGGACTGTTTATTTGCCAGTATCATGTTTTTCTGGCAATGTTAAAGAAAGAAAACGCATTTTTAGACATACGATCTATTACTCATAGTTAATTCTGCATGTTTGATGATACCTTTCAGTACTTCTCATGAGTAGGGTTTCAAAATGATGGAGCAATTTCTATTTGAAAATAATTTTTTCGACATCACTGGCCATTTTCCTCTTCCAAAACAAGTATGCAGCTAATAAATATTTGACATTAGTGAGTTTGTTTTCCTAACGTATGTAATGATCAGGTTTTATGTTTTTGTCTTTTTGAATGTAATTATACCCCAACAAAGAAAAACAGATTATTGAACCTATTAAAACCTTATTGAATCTACTGTGAATTGTTATGCAAAATTATGTAAATCACAGTAGATTTCAGATTGTGTGAGGATAGATACATTTTTGTGTTATGCCTGTAAGTGCAATAAAAATTAAAGTTAAAAATTTTAGAACTGAATATTTAAAAGGTAATTGAAACACACAATTTTAGGTGGAAAAATATTTTAAAAATTTTAAGAAAAACTTCTATTTGGAAAAAGATATGGTTAAGATATCTTTCATTATATTCTCCCATTTGGCATTGCTGTTTGTCTCTTTTCAAAATTTCAGAACATCTACTGTTAGATGATCTAAGCCAGCTTGATACATGGCACGTAAATTCCTGGCTTACACTGAAATAATTTCCATCAACTTATTCTTTGACATATATTTTTAAAAATTTAAAATGGTATTTTATATTGCATTTATTTTTTTCTCTACAATTCAGTTGGGTTTTCCTAAATTCGAGGATAAATGCTAAAAATAAACTGTAGCATTTGTGAAACTTTTTAATAGTTTATTTGATGTTATCTCTAGATAACTACCATAGGAATACAATTTTCCCTTTTTACAATTGCTCCCTTACATCTTTTTATTCCAAATAAGGATTTGATCAGATTTTATCTTGAGAAAGAATTATATTTCAATTTTGCTGCAAGTACAACTTGCCAAATGATATTGGTCTGCAAGAGTAATTGACTGGTTAAAATTAGACTTCTGTCCACGGAAATGTCAAAGGCAATTTTAATTTCCATACAGTAAGACCACAAAAACAATTTTAAGGGTCTGAGCTAATTCTGTATTGCTGCTCTTTTAGAGTATTTCACAGATTTAGTCATAAGGAGTCTCATACAAAATTTCAGTAGTTTATAGGGTTAAGTATCCTTTTACCTTATTCTGTACAAGCTATGTATCATGTGATTTAAATGCTAGTTCTATTGAGGTGTGCTAAATAAAGGAACTTCTTTCTCTGTTCTGAAATGTTAGGACACAAAATTATTTCTCTCTTCTCCCTTAAGTTTCTTGAATTGGTAAACTGTATATTTTAAAAACACCTAGAAATGTAATTGTTAAGGTTTCATCACAAACTGTTCTTTGCAGAACGGAACTTTTGTGTTGGGTAGTATGGAAACAACTTTTAATGTGTGCTTGTCCCTAACTAGTTAAAAGAACGATTTTTGAGTGCTCTCTACCCCTTAAAATGTTTTCCATTGCTTGGGTTTGGTACAGATGAAATGTGTAAAAATTTCTTGATTCTTTTGGTTTTCTTTTAGATAAACACAGTTGAGAATCTCCAAGGGAAACTTTTTAGCTTCAGAGATCTATTTTCTTTAAAACCCTCTGACATATAATTATACTTTTGATTGATATAAAATCAAATACAGTACTCCCTCTCTCTTTTCTTTTCCTCAGAAAAACATTAGGCATTTGATTTGGTAGAGTGAGTAGTAGAAAAAAAACCAATATATTTAGCCATTAAAATAGAGTTCAGCCATAACAGGAAAAGTTGTCACCACATTCTGTGAGCATTTCGTTTTTAGGCCAAGTTCTAAGCCTCCTAGAAGACTCACACAATTTGTGATTACCTATTTGTTTTGTTATTAAGTGTAATACGTAAAGCATACCAATATTTAACATGGTCATTATTCTGTTGCTTAAGCAACGAAAAGTGGATTTGTGTATTTCACTCTTAGGGATCTTTTCTTTCATATTTCCCCATATTGAATCAATTTTCCTTTTCTTCTAACTAAAAAAAAATCCATTATGTTAAAAATATGCAGTAAAATAATAATGTCCCAGAGCTCTTGAAAATCTTTATATTGGGACAATTTCTTCATTGTTTTTTAAATTTAGCCAGACAGAAGTGAAACCCATCAGCAGTCATCCTTTATCTCTCAGCAACACCAAAAAACATCTCAAGACATGAAGTAAAGAATTACATGTTCAATTGAACCCTTTCAGGATGCTTATAAGTTAAAGCCCATGTTTAGCACACAGCGGACTTGGAACCAGAGTTAGCCTCCTCATCTTACAAAAAATACATCATTGTAATTACACTCTACTTCTACAGTATCTTCTACATTATACAGACTTAAAAAAATTATTTCCAATTTGTATTGGAAAACTGTGGTTCCTGGAGATGAAGTTATTTGCGTGACATCACAGCAGATGTAAAAAAGAGGTGGGAAAAAAGAAGGGCCTCTTAATTTTTGGTACATTCATTTTCTTCTGAGCAGTACAAACTTCTCTGCCTTCATTAATATGCTTACCGGTTCCATCTTTACTTTGACATCAAAAGCCTCACGGCAGGTGCTAAAACACAATATGCTGAATATAAAAGAGGTCAGACTTTCAGATGCAGACTGGCCAAACGTGGTGAATTATTTCAGTGTTTTCAGATGCTCCCATTTTTAGCCTTGTGAATTTGAAAAATTGAAAAGCATATTGTCTCCAGTGGAGTAGGACATTTACCTCTATTCAGGAACCCCTTGAAGCACTAGATAAAGTATGCAGGGAGGAAATCATGTTCTCCTAGGATTTGCCCTTGACCTGGGAGACTTCTCAGGTTAAATAGAGTCACCCATAGGGTAGTCGGCAATTCCCTCTTCTCTGGGATGGAAAAAGTTGTCAGAAACCTAGTTTGGTGCAAGAACATGTTGCTTACGGAGGGATGCTGATTCAGCCTTTAACAGGTTCTCTTCCTTGGACTTTTAGCTGGTACCCTTGCAGACTATTGGCTGTGGGAGGCGTTGCTCTTTATGGAGCACTTCTATCTATTTATTTCAAAATTATTTATCAACACTTACTATGTGCTAGGTACTGTTTGGGCGATGGCATATGGTGGTGAGCAAAGTCAGTGAAGGCCAATCTAATATAATCTAGTCTCCTGGGAGTAAGTCTAATAACTTTGGACTAGTTGTCGAAAGCAGTAGATGGATCACTAATATATGTACATGGAAATGAGGATCATTTGAGTACAGTGGGGTGCTGGGGAAGTGAGTTCTGTAAGGAAGGCTATCGGATTTTGAGCTGAACAACAAAGTGCTAAGGCAGGCATGGCATTGAGAAACAGCCTAAGAGAAAAGCCAGGGCAAAAAAAAAAAAATTTTTTTTTTTTGACAAGTTTTTTTTTTGTGTGTGTGGTTGGTGGTTTGCTTGCATGGAACAGAGGGTATGTGGTAGAGGAGGGCTGGGGTGGGGGTCATGAGTGGGGAAAACTCAGCCCTCAAGCATGGTTACAGTGTCGGTTTTATCACACTATAAAAACTTGCTTTAATGAGAGTATGTACAAATTGTATTGGGAGTCTGGAATCAGATGCTTAGGTCTGCCTTGTGGAAATCTCGACAGAGGGGAGAGCAGCCCTAGGCACAGAAGAAGAAAGATCAGTGGGCTATTGGCTAGACAGGCAAGAGCACGTGGGCGTCATTATCAGAGAGCAGTGGGCTACTCTCACTGGAACCATTGCTTAGTCACCACAAGGGCATCTGGAAGTGGAATGAGGAAGAGATGGAAATAATCTGAAAAGAGGATCCTGGAAGTTAGTTGAGAAAAATGATATGTTCAAGAATGGATCAAGAATAGTGTGTCTATGTGACCATGTGGCCTCTGCACCAACATTCCCTCACCAGCCTTCCTATGAAACAGAGGTACCAATTTGCAGGTCAGCTGACCTCGGTTAAAAGTGTGACCCCTAGCTTTGGAGCAGTGAAAATGTTTGTGGACCTCAGAGATTCTCAGGATCCTTACTTGACTGAGTTAATCTGCTGCCGGTTAGCTGTTGAAGACTCAGGAGACGGTGTCGTTTCAAAATGGCGGATGGGACAAGACAGAATCAAGTTTGTCCAAGGGCATATTTTTTTTTTATCTCTACCACTCATTGGTCAGTGACCATTTTCAGCCCATTCTAATCCTTGATTCTGCACCTAGACTTTAAGTTTCTGAAGAGCTTTGTCTATATTCCACAGTAGGGTGGGCCTTCAGAAATTATTTGCAGTGTGATTAAAAGCTGAATATGTAGCCCAAAGTAAGGAGATAAAATGTAGTGTTGGATACCACAGCCTATTGAAGCTTCCATATCATCAGGAACTCTAAGATTTCACCTCAATGTCTTCCCCCATAGAGCTGACCATACTTTCTTTTTTCAGCCTGTGATCTGGATGAGACCACACCTCAGGGCCTCTCCAGGCTGCAGACAGGCGGTGCCTTCATATGTACAATGCAATCTGCAGATGAAGCATCAGCCTTCCTTCTGTGGCATAATTCCTATGGACAACCTAACATGGGGATTTAATAAAAATGTACATGTATTCTGCAAGGAGTCCAACAACAAATGAAGGAAACTCTTGCCTGCCTTTGAAATGGGTGGACCCTGAAACATGGGTCTGTTTGAAGTGGCATCCTGACCCATATGCAGATGCTTCCTTCCTATCTGCCATGACTGGGCTAGAGCACTAAATCCTGATAAGACACATCATTTGCAATGGGAATATGTTCTCAGTGTCTAAGCTTTTCTGATGTGCCCTTATTGCTGCTGTGTTTCCTGTTTTATGTAGGTGGTAGCCCTCGGAGAGGTACCAGATGGGACTGTGGTTACTGTCATGGCGGGTAACGATGAAAATTATTCTGCTGAGCTCCGAAATGCCTCTGCTGTTATGAAAAACCAAGTAGCAAGGTTCAACGATCTGAGATTTGTGGGCCGGAGTGGAAGAGGTAGGTGTCTGGTTTTTAATATTGATAGTGGAATAAACACATCAGGATCTCCTGTTGAAATGTAGGCTAGTCTGTGTACAAATCAGCACCTTCTTGTGCTGAACAGAATTGCTTAAGCTTTTATTTAAATATGTCCAGATGAAGTTGAGTGTTTTTCTGTGTGCTCAGGCCTTTTTCATTTGTTTTATGATACTGAAAATTCAAACAGTGTTTTCTGAAGAACTAGTCCCTAATTTCACTGGGCGTGAGCACATAAGGTGGAGAGAACAGTTGGAGGTTCAAGTTCTGAATTATGAGGAGCCAAATAACTGAGTAAATTGAGTGGCAACGAGGAAAGAAAAAGGAAAGCATTGGATCAATTTCCTGATAATATCAATTTTGCTCTAAGTTGCTGCAAGGACAGCCAGTGTAACGTTCTTCACTTAGCACATAGGTTACCTCAGTATGATTTAACTTACTCTTGTAATAATCTATTTTAAAAAGTCATAGTTTTTTACAGAAGGCTTCTTATTTGAATTGGGGAATGATGTGTTCCCTATGTTACAGTGACTATATAGAGTGGCCTAGACAGATGAGTGATTAAGATTCTAAATAATTTCCGCATTATTTGAGGGTCTCCCCCTCCTGCATCTATCTTCAAATATTGGGAGTCCTTAAAAAGATCATAAAATAAAAAATAATTTCTTTTAGGGTTTTCATAGCTGTTTCATAAAGGGGATTAATGTTTTTTTTTAAAAAGTCTCTAAGGAAACCAATATTTTGGCTTTTATTTACTTTCCTGTGAAGAGACTTTTAATGGTCCTTCACAAGAAGTATGATGCTCATTTATGCATTTATTGAATCTACTATTTCCATTTTAAGTGTCTCGATAAGAGGAGAGAAAATAGACCACTTTAGGACAGAGGTGAAATAAATTAGAATGACCTATGGAATGACTTCTACCCAGGTTCGAATTAGGAAATGAGAAGCATCAATTTTTAAACCATGTCCGATAATTGCTCTTTAGTTTGGATCAGATGTCATATTATTACCATTGTAAAAACTTGATAAGGGAAATTCAAGCAAGGCTGTTTCCGATGAGTAGTTTTAGTTTACTTTCTAGGAACAGGGCCAAGAAGCTGTACTTTTTAACGTAAAAAAAAATGATGCATGCTAATGAGATACTGTCACTGAAAGGTTGTTTGAAATAAAATGAGGCTCAGAGCCTCTGGTAGACTCAAAACTAAAGGGGTTATCTCTGCATCAGATTTAGTTTACTTTCATTAAAAGGAAAAAAGACACATCCCATTTCACTGTTGACTGATTAGGTGTGAAGTGTGTGCATTCTTTTTTTTTTTTCCCTCCCCCCCCCTTTTTTTTTTCTGTTATTGGTGCAGGTCCACAGTACAATTAAAGTTTCTCTCTTTTCTGGTAGGAATCAAGAAATATTTGAGCAGGATGATTTACCTGCATGCTCTGAACTGTATCTTTCTTCTTATGTGACATTAATTTTGTTTTTAATTGGAGTAATGAATTTCAGTATTTAGAAGACTGGACACTACCTTACAGAGTCAAGCTAGTGTTTCCATTTACCTTGCTTTTGTATTATATAGATGCTGCATAACTTTTCTCTGATCAATTTGAGTAGAAACTATGGCAAAGTGATAGTGTCCTTTGTAAACCCTCAACATATTTATTTAAGAAACTTCAAAGAGAAACAAAGGGTGTGCACTGTTTTACTATATTGGCTTTCTGAGTTTTGGCTGGTTTCCCAAATAGCAATTTTTATATTTAAAAAAAAAAAACAGACAGACTTAACTGCTTGCAGACTTTTCACGCATGGAAGATGAAGAAAGCTTCTTTTGATGAAGTGTAATTATGTCCAAACAGAGCTGACCCCCTCCCCCTATATTTCTTATGATCTTAACTGAAGAAAGTAGGATTTTTCCTTTGAAGCAGCCGGGACTTGGTGGAGGATCTGAAGTGCTACAGTCCTCTGCCAGAGGCAGGATGGAGAAATTGGTCCAGACTTGTCTTCGAGACTTAGATTGGGGGCGGGGGGGAGTGGGTGGAGAGAGAAAGAAAAATTGATTTATCACTAATAATAGATTTTTATATCATGACATTAATGTTATATGAAAGGAAGCAGTAATATCAAGCTGAAATGGAAGAGGATGAAAGGAGAGAGAACACTGATAAGAGATACCATTCTTTGGGGGGAAAAAAAGAAAAAGGTCAGTTTTTCAGTGGCAGGAAACCCTTTAACCTACCTGTGTACCTGACCTGCTTTCTAAAAACAAAACAAAACAAAACAAAACAAACTCCTTCCAGCTTCCTCTCTGATTTTTACACTTCTACATTTCTCTTAAATGATGAAGTCTGGAGCATCACATCCCTAACATTGTATCCCCCCCCCACCCCAGCTATTTACAATTTTCTATTTTGAGTAGCATGAAAAAATAAAGAATACCAAATTTCTCAAATGTTAACACTTTTTCTTTTCAGTGGTAGAGAGATAAATTCTCAGAAATCGAAAAACAGTTTTAGATGTATAAAGGAGTTATTTCACTACTTACTTTGTCATAATGGGTTAACTGATGACTTTTGAAAGTGCTTTGAATTAAAAGTAGAGCATCTGTGAAACTTGCATCAAGTTAGGAGTGGCTTACCTTTTTTTGTTGTTCACCCCCCTTTTTTTTTTCCTCCTTTGCATTTTAAACAGAAGTATTTGTTTGCTATTTCAGCAGAAATACTTGGTCCTTAAGTTTTCGTGCTGTGTGTCCACACTTCTACATCAAACATGCTTCTTGTGGTTTACAAGCAGTTTGAAGCACCTACAGTTTACAGAGCTTGGTACTATATCAGTCCAAGATACAATCCTTGCTTGTAGTTTTATCCTATCCACTGTCCCTGATAGCCTCTCGAGTTAGGTTAGAATTGTCTTTCAATGATAGTGCCTGTATTTATCTCGGAGAATATATGACTCCAGGACATATTTTGGAACTAGTTTCTAGCTGAAGCCAAGGATGATATAATTAGTTGTCATTAGTGCTAGCTAGCTAGCTCCCTCGGTAGAAGTCAGCATTTTGATCACTTCTGCAAAGTAGTAAACAATGGAATTTAGAAAAAGGTTGTTTTTTTTTTTAATTTTTAAACAAAATTTAAGTAAATTATGAGTACTCAAATAAACATTTGACTTAGGAGATGCATTATTATTTGTGAGGTGAAAAACCAATTACTCAGTTGGGTAGTAGTTTCTGGAAGTTTCTTGAACACTATGTTCATGTTCCTCCTGAAGGGGCAGTAAGAGGTAGAGGGAACCTCCTTAATTTTTATTTTAGTTGTCAAAGTACATCTTGATCTTCAGGATTTGATTTTAGAAGATTGCACTCATACTTCAAGGACTGGTTTCCTCTCCCCCAAACCCACCTCTTTTAAAAAGGAATTTTTACTGGTTCTGCTTTGAACATTTAGGTGCTTTATACTTACAGGGTAAATTTTATATTGGCTTTTGTTCTTACACAAGGTGTTTGAATTTGGGAGAAGCATTGATGACTTTTAATATCCGAACGAAGATGTGAAAGCCTCAAATAGAAATATTCTCAGAACAGGTTTCGATAAGTTCATGAGTCTGAATAATACTAGCAGGTCATTTAGACTTATTTAAGGACAAGTGAGATATATACATCCTTGCTTTGTTAAGATCTGTGCCAAGGACGACAGCTGCCTTGCTAACCAGCCTTGTAGAAATGCAGTCCTGGCTCACAGACCACTGATCTGACCCAGAATGGCATCTTGTATGGTTTAATCTCACTTACCTTTCAATCTAGGGGTTCAGCCCATTCACTCCCCGATGTCTCTACATTGTTTTGGGGTTTCTATCTGGATCCGGTGGCTTCCTCTTCAGCTTTCTGATCTCCCATCCTGTACACTTGGAGTTTTCTGTAACTAGTTCAGATTGCCAGCTGCCTTTTTCTTCCAGTTAGCCCTAATGTTTATAATAAATCCTCTGGTTCCTAACCAGACAATTGCATTTCTTTAAACCCATGTAACATTCAGTCTATAATGGATGAAATATGATCTATCAGTGACATTTTAAAAATAGATGCTTTCCTCCTCCTGGCGAGATACTATGCTAGTGGATTTATATCTACTGTTTCTTGGTCTTATAGAGCTGATGGGGATGCATGTAAAAATAAATGATCTGTTAATTTTTAAAAAATTTCTCTGGCAGTTTAAAAGAAGAGCACTCTCTTTAAGGCCTGGAAGACCTGGGTTTGGACCCTGATTTTTTCCTCTTATTAGTTGTGTGGTTGACTTACTAAGCCTTTCTGGGCTTTAGTTTCCTCATTTGTGAACTGCAGGTGATGAAGCTAACTGGAGAGGACTAGATGAGATATGTGTGAAGTGGTTGACAGTAGTTTTCTAATCAATATTCATCTTTCCCTGTCTGCTCCCCTCCCCCCACTTGCGTCTTGTCTTTTTTTTTTTTTTCTCTTTCCTTTTCTTTCTTTCTTTCTTTTCTTTTCTTTTTTTTTTTTTTTTTTTGATTACTGGCCATGGAAAAGTATAGCGAAAGAGACTTAAAACTATATACACTGAGTAACAAATGATGTGTGTCTTAAACATATTTTAGGAACTTACATGGTCGGGGTTGAAAAGAAAACCCATTCACTAGATTTGACAGCCAAAGACCTGTTCTACATTAAGCCTCGTGTAGAACCTGTTCCACATTAAGCTTTGAGAAGATTGCATTAAACTCCGCATTGCTACATATTGTTTAAGATTTGCGTTTTGATTTAATACCCTCAAGCTTTCAGTAAAGGGGAAAAACAGTCTCTGACCAAAAAAAACAAAGCAAAACAATACGAGCTGTTTTAAGGTCTGGGACAGGAGCAGGCCAAGTGCACACTCTGGCCCGAGATTGCCGCGAAGGTTTTATTGAGTCACTGTTTCACGCCCACCTTTTCCTGTCTTGTAACAGTTTGCAGTTTTGACTATCTGACATGACTAACCGTTGCAAATCTAACTGATTACAACTGTCAGTGAGTCTGGGTAGCAGGGTCTGGGATCTTCTTCTGGAGAAGGCAGACATCCAAGTCTGCTCCCAGACTTCTCCCTGTCTTCTTTCCCCCACCTCTATTCATCACCTTTACCTCATTAATTTGAAACATCAGATGTCGTGTTTCAATGAAGCACACCCTAAGCTAAAAGCAGCAATTCTCACGTTGGGAGACATTGTGTACATGGAGTGAAGAAGTCACTGTCAGGTAGTTAGTTCAGGATTTAACAGCAAGGTTGTATGTTCGGGCAGGGGTGGGCAGGGAGGAGAAAAGCTCTGTTCCAGTAATGATGAAATCATCATACCACAGGCACATTAAGGCAGGACAGGAGACACCGGCTCCTGTTAAAATGATTCCCATAAGAACCTTCCTCTTTCATCTTCTTATTGTAGTGCAGTTAAATAAATGAAATGTTAAAGCCATGTGAAGTAAATAACATAATCAACAGTGATTTACTATTGTTCTCTCATGGGGTCATGACCTAATCCTAAATAAAGACTTCTAAAATTGTCTGTGTTTGGATGTGTTCCTGATGTTGTTGGAGAGGACTAGAAGGAAGAGAATCCTCTTCAAGTGGGCCAGCGTTTTTGTTTTCATTACCACTCCTTGCTACTGAGCTGCATTTTTTTTTTTTTTTTTTTTTTTTTTTTTTTGGGAGTCAGAGCCCTCTTGTAGAGCACTGCAGTGAAGATGGTCTGGATACTCAGCGAGTTTAATCCTTCCCCGATGTGGCCATCGGAGGCTTTCTCATTGAGAATAAAGAGCCCCGTCTCTTGCTTTTATTTTATTACCTCCTCAGACATGCTCGAGTGCAATCTGGATATTTATGCTGTTCTGTTATCCCTGGTGCTGTCTTTTTATATTCACTGTGGATTTTCCCCTTTTACATCTGCAGGCAAGAGTTTCACCTTGACCATAACTGTCTTCACAAATCCTCCCCAAGTAGCCACCTATCACAGAGCTATTAAAGTTACAGTGGATGGACCCCGGGAACCCAGAAGTAAGTACTCGCCTTCCTGTTGGAAACGGTAAACAGGGTGTGTGGGGGACCCTATGAGGAATGTGTCCCTGAGCATTAGGACTACTTTCATGTAAACGGTTTCTTTGCCAAGTATGCTCTCTGCATGTATGTGGACTGAGGGGCAGTTAGCAGAAGTTCACAGTTAGTAGAAGATCAAATTACACTGGTCAACTTTGCCACAGAATTGCTAAGGCTTACCTAACTTGGGGGACAGGAGTGGAGAATCACTCAGTCACTGTAGGTGTGGGCTAAGACATTCTTCTCATGTGCTGTACACACTAGACAGGGCCGAGCAGACCCATGAGAGCTGAGGAGGAAAACAACAGACTGAAAAATCTTGAGCTTAGTCAAAAAGCATGTGTGTGTGTTTCCCATGGTCTAAGAATGTGTTTTAACTTTTTAGCTCGCCCACTCAATTCCCTTTATAAAGAGCACACTGCTTAATTACAAAGAATTTATTTGCAAATGATAACTTGCTTGATTGTTACAACACTGTTGTTTGGTCATGTTCTGGTAATTGTTATAGATAGTTTCTTTTAACAGATAGAGTCAAACCACGTCTAAATCCGCCTTGGTGGGTTTGTCTGTCTGGACATCCAGAAGGTTGATCGGGCATTCGTTTAAGAAGTACACGTAACCCATTTGGGCCAATATGCATTTTCCTCCCAAATGTAAATAGAGACAGGTTTTCTCTCCATTCCCACCCCCAAAACCGATTTGATCAAACTTGGTACAGCAGCATTTTTAACTGCATTTAGGGATTAAAGATTATTTGATATATATATGACATGAAAACTCATGTGCCAATGGAAACATTGAACTCTGCCTTTGATGAGTGAGTACGTGGGAGTCCCAGCCATTGGGTTTAGAGAGTTTAGTTTGGTTTGTGGAGGTACGGCTGGCAGAAATATTTGTTACACAAGGATACACCTGCCTGGACAGTGAGAGTGATCGATCTTCCCCTAAAACAGAGAAAAGGACCGATTTTTTCCCCTCCTCCAGTAGCATATCATTTAGCAGCAGGAGCGTAGGGTGCCTTCGGTTCCTCTTGCCGCTGTCTCTTTTCACCAAGGCTCACTGCTTGTCTGAAGTAGGGAGGTTTCCTGCCTCAAAAGCCGGTCTTTGAAGTTTTTCTTTTCTCCTCCTTTCATGTGTATGGCTTCTTCTAGGCTCACAGTGTTGGGTCAGTGCAGGCTCCATTCAGGTTGAGAATGTTCTGTTAGGCAGTGTGTCTCTGGTCACCCTGAGTCTCTGGTCACAAGAGCCAGTGGTTATGCAGTGCAGGTGACTAGACCAGAGCAGGACTGTCTGGTCTGGTGTGGAGCTTTGGCTGAAGTTCCTGGACTGCCATAAGTCAGGGGAAGATGCCTTGCGATGGAAGCCACATGTTATCTAATTAGCCCTTGAGTTCCTGAAAAGGCAGGGACATCCATTTCAGTCTTGTGTAAAGCAGGACGGTAGTCTTTTAACATTTAGCACTACTAATACTTATCTTTTAAAGATGTTTCCTGCTGATCTCAGCAGCTCTTCTCACTTCTTGGAAAAACCATTATTGTGTGTGTGTGTGTGTGTGTGCGCGCGCGCGCGCGCCTCTGTGTATGTGTCCATACACTCAAGAGTGATGGTTGTGAGAGGAAATAGGGAAAGGTGGATGGGTGCAGCCCTGTTCTTAAAGGGGTGACAGAAGGTGAGGAAATGGGGTAGCTTTGGGAAAGTCACTTCTCTCAGGTGAGGATACCATTTCCTCATTCCCAAGAGGTTATTGGCAGAATTAATTGGCTGATAGGCTTGCTGCCCTGTAAAGGCAGAGAAGCGCTCTGAAAGCGAGGAGAGTCCAGGATAGAGGGGCAGGTGGTGTATATGTGACCTGAATTTGGGCTCTGGGTGCCGAGGGTGGGAGGGGGAGCAGATGCAGATCGTGAGTGGCAGACCACTGCGTAATAACATTTTTCAAGGACCAGAAATGTATGTGACAATGTGATGTCATGACGACATCATGAGGGGGGGTGTACCAAACTCAGTGCCTGGACACAAGGATGGATATGGTATCAGCAACATCTTAATCCTATAACCTTGAGTCTCTATACGGGATTATTGCCTTCTGCTCTGCTCTTGGCCATCTTGGGCATGGAGAGCATAGCACTCTTCTCAGTATTGTTCTTTAAATTTTCACATCCCAGGTGTGAAAAATGCCCGGCGTTTTCCATTTTCTTCAACTCTAATAGGATTTGGAATGATTGCTGCATATATACTGTTAAATGGAGAATCCTCCAGAATGTGGATTGGCAAACTTTTTCTATGAAGTGCCAAAAAGGAAATAACTTCTGCTTTGTGGGTTATATCTTCTCTGTCACAAGGACTCAACTCTGGCAACGTAGCTCAGAACCAGCCTCAGCCAATACATAAATGAATGGTTGGGGTTTGTATTTCAATAAATCTTTATTTGCAAGAAAAGGTGGTGGGTTGGTCTGGCATACAAGTTGCAATTTACCAACCTTTGCTTTAGATTTCAAACTGGCTTATGCTATTAACCCTTGACAGAGTAGGGCTTTAGAAAAGGGCTTTCCTGATGGGAGAGAGAAAAAGACAATGCAATTGTCTGAGCCGTCTCTCCAGTGAAATTATAATTCATCAAATGGTGGTTGTCCTAGAAATAGTATCCGTTTATTATTGTAATGGTTTGATGGAGTTGAGGATATTATACCATTGATTCCCATTAATGGAATTTTACTGCTTCCTCCAGAGATCAGAATATGTATTGAAAAGGCTACTTTTGGTAGATTAGCTATTTGGATAAGGACAAGTTCTGGGTCAACTGGCTGGGTCTTTATTCAGCCTCACATAGTGATTAAGGGTGTGGCTTTGGTGTCTGACTGTCTGGATTGAAATCCCAGCTCCACCACTGACTGACCCGTTAGCTGTATGGTGGTAGACCAGTCACCTGACTTTCGTTTCCTCAACTTCCTCATCTGTTAGAGTGAGACTAACGATGGTATTTTCCTCATCGGTTGCTGCCAAGATGTTAAATGATGTAACGTCCATAAAATATGTAACACAGCGACTGTCATGTAGTAAGTGCTCATTAAGTCTGAGTTGTTACTGTATCAATTCCCTTCAGTGTCAGAGGAGTTTGCTGTAGAGTTTTGCTTCTCGCACGCTTCCAGGAAATAGATACCATCTAGACTCTGCTCCCTCGTGTGTTACTTATTTTTTTTTCTTGCAGACGGTTTTACTAATTTCTGCTCATTAGTAAATGACATTAATAAGTGTTATAAACTGTGCCTTGAGCAGGTAGTCCCGCTGCCTAGGGACAGCTGTGCAGAGATGATGATACACACAATTTGTTGGCAGCCAAGAGAAGTCCGAAAGAGGATACAGTGGCTCTAGTGCCCCGCTCTGAGGCTCTGCTTATCAGCACATCTGCCAAGACTTGCTTTTCACTCAAAAATCAGAGAGGTTTCATCCTTGTGTGTTCTCTGTCTCTGGCAGCTGAACCGGTGCTGTCAGATCACAAACAATTTCTGTCCTTAATATACACATCTGGCGTTGGCAGTTGGACGAACTTCATAAGAACACATGATCATCACTCATTACAAGATTAAAAAGTACCCCATGGCATCATTGATGTTTTTTCACTTTGATCTTCTGCAGTTGTGATTCATCTCAGTTATAAAACTTCCCTTGAAAGGAACATAGCCGATGACTTATTAGAACCTTCATCTTAAGTAGCGTAAACATGAAAACGGTGCACATCTTTACAAAATGCCATTTGTTTTCTCTGCCAGCTTATCATTTTAAGACATGACATCATACCTAAGATCCCAAATTTGTAAGTCCCGTGTTTAGGCAAGGCATTTTGACCTTCTGTTGGCAAGTGAGCTAGAACGACTGCCGTATGTTCGCCAGCAGAAGTCAGTGGAGCCGCGGCAGCTACAGTAATATGTTCGGATGCCTGACTCTTTCAAACATCAGTTTCTATTAGGATCCTTTGTTCCGTATGTGCCCTTGGTTCCCACTGCCATCCGAGTGAGAGAATTTCTACAGGAAGGTGAAAACTTCCCAATGTCAGAGTTGTGGTTCTGAGTTAGGGAGGCCGGCTGATGGTAAAGGTATTACCGGCCATGCAGAGGATGGAAAAAATAAATCACCCTACATAGTCAGGATCCTTTTAATTCTCTTGCTGTTTTTTCAGTTATCTATTGCTGAATAACATACATCCCAAAACATCATGGCTTCAAACAGCAACCAGTTTATAATTCTTCAGGATTTGGTGGGCTGCCCGGGGTTCATCTGGATGGGTTTTCTGCAGGTTTGCTTGGGGTCTTTCATTGGCTGCAGGAAGATGGCGGCTGGTGCTGGAACATCCATGATGGGTGCGTTCTTACGTCTGCTGCCTTGGCGGGATGGCGACAAGGCTGGGCTTGGCTGGAACGATGGGACAGCTGGGCCTTTCTCCCTCTCTCTGTGGTTCTAGAGCCTTTCCCCCTCCACATGGTCTTTCCATCCAGTCTCTCCAGCACAGTCTAACTTCTTCCATGGCAGGTCAGGTCTCCCAAAGGTGCAAGAGTGGGAGCTTTTAGTCCTTCTTCTGGCTTTTAAGACTCAGAACTGTTGTGGAGTTACTTCCTTCATATACTGCTGGTTAAAGCAAGATACAGTTCAGCCTCGATTGAAGGGTAGAAAACCCATAAAGACATGAGTGATGGGGACACTGGTTCATCGACTCAGCAATTCCATCAACCTCCGTAAGTGTTTAGATGGCAAGTGTCATTGTTGCCATGGAACACAATGATATTTTTGAGGTATCCTCTTCTGAAAGATCTCTCAACTTTCTAATCTGGAGGATGTTTAAAGTTCTGCAAGGTTTTCTGTCCAAAGTTTATAGGATGTGTGCAACACTCATGGCGGGGCAGGAAAAACGAGGCTAGGCATCAGGTTTGGGCACGGTTCTGTGATGCCTTATTATCAAGGGAGGAAGT